TTCACCTCCAACACCACAAGAAAACAATTACTCTGCTTATTTTACAGCACAAGGGTGTTAGAATTAGGATTGTCTTCCATTTTTCTACTACACATCTGTATGTACTGTATGTTTCTGTTGAGTAATAATGTGTATTTTAGCACTATAGAAAGAATTTAGGGTGTTTGGCAAGAAAAGGACTGACTTGCCTGAATTCAGTGTGCAATTGTTTTGTAGTGGCACACAACATTAGAAAGCTCTAGACACTGAATATTTCAAACAGACCTAGAATCCATGAATTTCTTTCTGATGAGCTTGAGTGAATAGCAAATCTGTCATATAAACTGACACTTGTCTTCTAAGATAACTTATGTTGGCCGAATTCAAAGAAAGCATTGCACACACACGACCATTCAAAAGTTTGGGATCAATGAAATGATATGTATGCATGTGTATATATTAATAAATGCTGCTATTTTAGACTTTGTATTCATGAAAGAATCCTGAACTAAAAATTTAGCATGGTTTTGCAAAAATATTAAGCAGCACAATCATTTATAATTGGGATAATAAGAAATGTTTCTTGAGCAGCAAATCAGCATATTACAATGATTTCTGAAGGATCATGTGACACTGAAGACTGGAGTAAAGATGATACAAATTTGGCTTTTCTGTCACGGGAATACATTGCATTTTAAAATATATTAAAAGAGAAAACTGTTATTTTAAATAGTAATAATGTTTTACAATTCTACTGTTTTTACTGTATTTTTATTCAAATAAATGCAGCTTTGATGAGCATAAGACTTTTTTTTTTTAAACATTAAAATAGCTTACCAACCTCAAACTTTTGAACCTTATATAAATGTAAAAAATATTTTTAAAAATGATACTGTTATAAATACATATTTATATATTTTAATATGCATATTTTTATCCTTTTTAAGTTGTTCAATCTAATCAAAAATAATAAATAATAAAACAAACTTCTAATAAAACTTCTAACCCTAACTATTAGTTCAATCATGACAACTCTCTGAAGATTTTAGCATGGTGAGACTGGCTTTATGCTTCTTCGTTACACTACTTTATATATAATAAGAACTGTTTCTTGGGCACCACATCAACATCTTAGAATGATTTCTGAAGGAACATTTGACACAGAATATACTGAAAATTCTGTTTTGCCATCACAGGAATACATTTTAAAATATATTAAAAGAGAAAACTGTTATTTTAAATAGTAATAATGTTTTACAATTCTACTGTTTTTACTGTATTTTTATTCAAATAAATGCAGCTTTGATGAGCATAAGACTTTTTTTTTTTAAACATTAAAATAGCTTACCAACCTCAAACTTTTGAACCTTATATAAATGTAAAAAACATAAAAAAAAGATACTGTTATAAATACATATTTATATTTGAATATGTATATTTTTATCCTTTTTAAGTTGTTCAATCTAATAAAAAATAATAAATAATAAAACAAACTTCTAATAAAACTTCTAACCCTAACTCGATACAGTGCCGTGAGTATTTAAGACATGCTGCTGCTGCACAAATAGCATATAAATAACCCCGTAGCAGATCAATACAGGTGGAGCTGGGGAAGGTGGACGGTTTCAGAGAACTCTGAAAGCGCGCTGCAGGAATCTCAAGTGAATGCTAGCCAGCCATATAAATGCAAGGCAGTAAGCTCATTGGCTGCATATGCAGCATGAACCAATCAGCTTGTGCCAAGTCGTTTAACTCTCTGAATATCATCAGTTACGTTAACACCCCGTCAGAATGCGCCATCTAGAGTTTCATGACTGAACTATATATTTCATTCTCTTTAAAGCACTACCACCAAAAGCCATGAAATTCATGACCTTCAACATCAACAACAACAACAAATCATGAGATATACACTGGCATAAAAACTTAGTATGGATCACTGTGAATGTAAATGGTTAAAAATAAATGATATTTTTTAGCTGGCCACAATCATTCAAACTGGCTTTTTGATATAGCTGTCAGAATCTAAATAAATAGTAATTTTTTTTTCCTGACGATTGGAAAAAATAAACTAGGTGGAGTAGCCATGCAGTACTAAAGTATTGGACATATCCATAGTCACAATGCAACACACCATACGCATCAGGTGTAGATACAGTGTTAGCAGGCCATATACAGCTTGTAGCTCACTAGCATTGAATAGATGTGTTCGAGGAGCAGCTCTGTGTAATTACGTCCAGTGTATTTTTTAAATAACAGCCCGCCGTTTCATTCTGATGGCATGAGACTTGAGAAGCGTTTCCTCCTCCCTCTCAATTAGACAGAGAAGACTGACTCCACTCTCAAAGTGCACCTGTCGGCTGACTTTAATGGCTCACCTAGCAGCAGATATCCAGCGGAGTTTAATTACAGTGAAAGGATGAAATAGGTGCAGTTGATATCCAGCTCGTCTTTTGATATGGAGACCCAGATTTCTCTATCCACTTTTAAATGGTACATACATACTCTGAGACGTGTTCAAAGTACAGGCAAACAGCAAGAAAGAAATATAGGCATGCAGAAAGACAGCCGACATGGACAGGAGCCAAAGAAAGTGGATCTATTCCAATCTCTAGTGCACTATCAATCACTATGAAGTTACCTACCTTTTAAGAAGTGTCTACTTTGAAGCTGTAGCTTGCAAAAATAAAATCTATCAAGTAATTACATTTTTTAATTTTGCTACAAAAACAATTTTACATAAATTGAGGTTCTGTGATGATTTAAAAGAATTGGTGAATCATTTATTTGAACCAGTTCATTAAATGAATCATTTAAACAAATAAACTCCCTAAAATTAATCATATTTCCAAAAAATGTTTCATACATTTTTGACATCTTAAAATGTGTTTGATTATTGCCTCAGCTCATTTTGTTAAAGGCTGTGTGTGTAAAACAGTTATGTAATGTGTTGTGCAGCACTGCTACTTGTTGCAAAAAAAGATGCATTTACGTCAGTAGCATCCCCATGTGAAGTTAAAACACAACAAAATGGCAAATACAAGCTCTACAAGCTCTAAGCTCTAGTTGCAATAGTCAGATGTTAGCATGATGCTAGGCTAATTAATTAATACTCTAAAGGCCTTTTCACATAACTTGCATCAAGTTTTTCTCATTGTGTGACACTATGAATTTATGACAGCTGCAGAGTTACCTGCAAAACTGGCTGTTCGCCAGTCAAGCTATTTCTAAACTATTTCAGCTTTGACCCTGTTTGCTGCTGACCTGTCATTCTTTACAATGACTATTCCAAATCTGGCCATAAGTATGTGGCTGTCACACATGATTTTGCCTCACTAATGCGGTTTTTTAGAGCTAAAATAGGCAATTTTTTTTTTAAGCTTCAAACTTTATGAAGAGATCTTGAATGCCTCATAATTTCCTTTTATTCATCTATATTTACCTTATTTGTTTTATTTTAATACTTTCATATCTTTAGTTTGCTGTCATTTGACCTTTATTAGGCTCGCCTCGTCTGTAAGATGTAATTTTCAACATTAGTATGTTGCATAGCTTTAATAAAAAATAATAATAGTAATAAATGAGTAAGTAAAAAAATGACAGCTCCTTTTTTCCTTTCTTTGATGCATCAAAGCCATTGGCAGGTCTTTTTTGTGCACACGTCCCACTTTGTTGCTTCCCAGAAAAAACTAGCCTTTTGTGGAACTCCAGCATTTTGGAGGAGGTGAAAATGGCACACGACGTTTGCGGTGAAGCAAAGTAACAAATCATGTGTAAGGGCTTTGAAGGAATAAGGAACCCAAAAAAGAAAATTTGCTTAAAATTTACTCAGGCCATCCAAGATGTACATGAGTTTGAAATTTAGCATTACATCACCTGCTCACCAATGGATAATCTGCAGTGAATGGGTGCCGTCAGAATGAGAATCCAAACAGCTGATAAAAACATCACAATAATTCACAACTTGACTCCAGTTCATTAATTAGTGTCTTATGAAGTAAAAAGCTATGGGTTTGTAAGAAACAACTCCATTATTAAAACTGCAGTTCCTTTTAGATTTTTCATTCAAGTTCATCACAGAGCATTCTCGGATTGTTAGGTTTGGATTAAGTCTTGAGTTTTTGAATAGGATGAATCACAAATATAATTCTCCAGCCCATAAATAGCCAATTCATGCACAGTTGTACAGCTGCATATTAATGAGCCAAGATGTGACATTGCTTGACAACCACAAACGACACTCAGTTATACTATGTCTAGTCTACACCAAACACACTAGACAACACGCCAAATCTAAACAACTCCCATTATAATTAATGTAGCTGTCTACACTGGAAGCAACCATCTGCGACAGTTTTCAGACTGTTGTAAGAAATTGCATCATGGATATTCTGCGGCATGAGTATGGCAGAATTTCAACCGTTGCACATTATACACAATTTTACCACCCAGCCTTGCACATAACATCCTCACTGCATTCTTTAAATCATACAAAAATCCATAACAATAAACGCTGCATGAACAGACAAGGATATCTGAAAATGTCAACTATAGACGCCCACCAATCTTTTATCCTCAACCGCTAATCTGAACAGTCTGACAATAGCCACAATTTATTTGCCTCGATTTCCACTCAGCCTCGCGGCATTTCCAGCAACGTTTTGAGATTTTTATTACGGTTGTCAGTTTGTCTTTGGCAGACATGACGGTATAATTCATACATCATCAAGTGCTCAGTTTGGAGAGCTGTGTCTGGCTGCTTCAGTAATGAAGGTGTGCAGAGAAGATGCAGAGACCGATTTGCGGGACACTGCCACACAGAGATAGAGATACAATTATCTCTCTGACTTCGCTCAGAGCGTAAACGCTGAGCTGTAACATCTCATTTCACCAACTCCAGGAATGAAATCGAAAGCTATGGTTCTGGAGAAAAGGTGCAAGGTTTATTTTGCAAAAGTGGTAAATAAAATCTCTCATGTTAGTGACAGGGAAAGAATGATGGACAGAACTTTGAGTCTCACCCTCAGTGTTTTGAGCCAAGATTTGGGTGATGATAACAAACAAGCCAATCGCCAACCCCAGACAGTCCGATCGCCACCAGCGCCTCCTCATCTTCAGTTACTGCCTACTGCCAATCCACCTGCAGCGAAACAGAGAAATGGTGTTATTTTAAAGTCTAAAAAAAACAATATATCACTGTTAACTGTGCAGAACTATTACAAAATAAATAAAATATTTAGTGTAAAAATCAACAGAAAACTTTGCTGTAATGCTGCATCCGTACTGATGGGTTATTTAGAGAACATTTAGAGAATAACGGTTATCATATTTATATATATATATATGGATATAGTAACATCCACCTTGCTTTCTGCATAATAAGATCGGGCATATTGGTCAAACACGTCATCTAAGACTTCATCCTTGACACCAGTGGATGCCCGATGCCCAACACACAGACGTTCTTCTGCACAGTCAATAAATTTCTCATGGCAGCTCAAACTTCAGTACAGATTCAGTCAAAGTAAGACAAGTCTGTCAGTTAAGCTGGCATGTGGATATTGGGTCAAAGTTTCAGGCACAGTAACTGATGAGTGCACACTGAATTAACAATTGCTAAATTTACATAACAACAAAAAAGATAAGATAAAAAGATAGAAAGCAAGAAATACAATAAGAACTATGGTTCAAGGACAGTTTTAGCCCATTTTGGCAGTTTTTCTTTTTTAATAAAACACTGTATTTAATTTGTCTATTTACAATGTCTTAAAAGTGGATAATACCTTCAGAATTCTGTCATTTTTTAAAGCCTAGTTTCATAACTAGCATTTTATAAATTCCACCAATTATAAGGAATTATAAGGTTCTATTTGACATTTTTGTCAAAACAGAGTTATTCACATTCTTATTGTGACAAATTATTTACATTGTGATTTTTTTTAAGTTGTGTACATTTTGAGACTTTTATATTTAGAAAACAAAAAGGTTCTATCTATGAAGTATATTGAATGCAAAAACTTTGAAGCTCAGTATATCAAAACCCCTCAGAATGCAGATGGTGGCGATTTTGCATAATTTATAACATGCTCATTAAATGACTGTTGACTCCAAGTACACAGACTTTAGAAGGAAAAAAAATATGGGAGCAAAATTATTGGTTGTAGTGGAAATGATGTCAGAATTAAGGGACCATCATAATTTGTGTAAAATCATTTTCACACATTTATTATTGACATGGTTTATGATTATTTCATCATTGTTTACATAACCATTGTTAAAAGAAAGAAAGTTCAAATGTAATGTTTTTTTATATTACAAATTTTGAAATGTTAAAAACAAGAAATAAAATGTAAAAAATGTTATTTCATAAATAAAAATAATTTAATACTTTAAGATCGTAGTTTAGGTCAAGGGTAAAACAATAAAACAGATACAAAGGCATCTGAAAAGCAGTAAAAAATAAATGTTGAAGGCATAGTTGAACTTTTCGCATTTATTTTTTGCTGATTTTCAGATGTCTTTAGATCTGTTTTATTCTTTCACAAACAGGTCAAAAAAGTTTTATATATATAAAAAAAAAAAAATAATAATAATAATAATAATTTTAATAAAAAAATTTTAAAAAAACTCTATCTAGATGATATTTTCTGAGTTGGTCTGTATACTGGAAAACAATTCTCATTATAAAGCCATTCTCAGAAATACGGATTTAATCTAGTTTGCTTTGTAGGTTTTTGATGCGCAAGGACAGATATTACTTGACTTTGTACAAATATACACAAGGGATTACAGCATTCATTTATGCATGTGTGTGTGTGTGTGTGTGTGTGTGGCCCATCGTGAGGCTGGCTGTCTCGATGGTTGCTGCCTACACGCAGAGGTTGATGTAGAGATAAACTTAAAAAACAAGTGTCTCCATTTGATCTGTCACCTGTATTCATACTCACAATCTCTACGATGTGCCTGCGGCAGCCGTATGAGCCACTGAAACGGCTTTAAAACCATACGTTGATGTGTGTCAACACAGTCATTTAAATACAACATCAGACCGCGTCGCCGCCACTGTCAGATTCTCTATTCCCAAAAGAGCACAAGCAAGTCTCTGGAGCCTGATGGGTGAAAATGATAGTTCCCACTTTAACATTTCCACAGAGCGCTCAACAATTGTGACAATGCAGAACAAGAAGGGCTAGAGAAACATAAGAACTTGCTAACGCTGTCTTTTGTGTTCTCTGCTTTGATGTGGCGGTCTGAGGAGCATAAGCAAGGTCCAAAATTAACTTTCTGCCAATGACGGATGAACGGAGAGAATTTTACAGCCGTAAATATTTCTTACTGACCATGAAACTGTAGTTTTGCACTACAGCAAAACCGACAACATATGTTGGTGCATTTTCTGAACAAAATTTAAGTGGTGCTGGTCAGTGCCAATGAGCAGCTGCATTCCCATGGGACCTCACATAGGGCCAACATCTATGGTTTATGTATGTATATGGTTGGATATTCTGTTTGACTATCTTAGCCATTCTGATCTTAAACAAGTATTCCTTCTAATCCATTTTCAATGTAAAAACTTTTAAATATTTTTTTAAGCCAGAAAAAAATATATATTAAGTTTTAAAAACACATTCTGGATTTAATTTATTTTTCTTATTTATTTATTTTTTATTTTTTTCTTTCTTTCTTTCTTTCATAAAGGCATTTGGAACTAACTGTTAATATTTTTAAAACATTTGGTAAATGACAGAATATTTAACTCAACGTCTGGTCATAAAGTCTAACTTACAATTACATAATTAACCATATAAAATCTATTTGATATGCACATTTATAAGGCCTCTAAATTATCGACATGATCAAAACATGTTAAAAATGCCTTTACTGATTTATTAATGTAAACATTAGAATAACTTGTTACTATATTGTTAGTTTATATATAGTTAGTATATCATTTATATATAGTTATTTTATATATTTCTTTATACTGTAGTATAATATTTCACTTACTGGAATAAGGAATAGTACTGGAATAATAATTTAGTTTGTTTTTGTTTTTAGTTTTTTCAAGAAAAATCATGTTAAAATATGAGTATCAAATATAATAGATCACGTGTTGAGGAACATTTATTTGTCTATATCTCAATCATCATTGTATTGTGTTGCATTATACTGTATAATTTGCCCCTACGATAAACACTTTGAGCTTTGATCATAAAACTAAGACTTTACTGTAAATATCTTCTTACTAGGACATATTATTGTAAAATATACTGTGACAACTGACATGAATTCTTGAGAAAAGATCTTACTTTTTGGCCATATACATATCAACATTTGCACCAAACTGCATATTTTCTTGCTCAGTTTGGGCCTCTGAATAAAATGTAGGTGTTTTTTTTCAGTGCTTCATATTCTCACTATAGCATACATAAAAGCCTGATGTACCAAATATGACACAAAAATGCATATGCATATATACATAAAGGTTCAATATACAGTTCCATTCCAAAAAAAAAAAGTTTTTTCCTGACTATATTATTTCAAATGTCAGGCTTTACAGTATTAAGGAACCCAAAGACGCCCTAATGTGTAGCTATAAACTTTACTTACTGAATTACTTACTGAAAGTTACTGAATCAAACATGTTTGTGTGCAACCGAAAGTGGAACTACATTAAGTCTAACAGATGTCTTTTTCAAACAATGGATGAGTAGGTCACTCCATTATTTTACGTTGCTTTACAAAAGCCTATATTGCAAAAGGTTGTGTTGACAAACAGGTCTTAGTGCTCTTCGCAGTGTTTGAGATCAAGCAAGAAAAATAGACTCACTGCCAAAACCTGCTATAATCCTGCTAAACAATGCTGTGCTGCTTGCACATCAAGTGTAAATACTGCAACTTTATATGGCCACTGAAATGAATATGCATTGCTCATTGCACTGCAGATACAAGATGAAATAGGACATAAGATTTTAAGAATAAACTACAGACAGCTATCTAGACACACAATCACGCATCTAAAACAACTTTTGCATATGTGAAAGCACACTCTCAGATGCAGGTAGTTCTGTCATGGAGGACATCTCTCTGCCTTTCTTCTCTATGAAAAATTATTCATTATTTGCTCTCAACATGCATTTTTCCTCCACTACCTCTGTCCTTTAATCAAAGTATAATACACACACTCTCAAGCTCAGAGTCCTTTCTAAGCCTCATTAACAGTCATGGCAACAGACGCCACTTTCCCCGGCTGCTATCAGGACCCTTAAGACATGCTGGAATCTGTCTATATATCACAAACTTTCCTCTATATTTATTCCCTTCACTTTCTACGCCTTGCACGTGTGTCTGTGAGAATTACGGACAGTTGCAGTGTGAAATAATAATAATAAAAAAACACTGATTAAAACTATTTAGGCTGCATTTAGGGAACGTTCAAACTGATAAAATGTGTAGCTTGAAGGCAATGTAAATCCCTTTGGTTAAAAGCATCTGCCAAATCCATAAATTTAAATGTATATTCTTACCCTTATTTCCACACAGAAAGGATTAAAATGTTGTAAAAACAAAGATCATTTTAGTATGTTTTACATTAAAAAATAATAATAATACAATTTCAGTTTTTTGTGCAAAATTTCTGTATTAATTCAATGTTTTAATTGCTATTTTTTTGTAATTGTGAAATTGACTAGCAATTTATTTGTGAATTTTTTAACATTAAATAAACATCTAAATAAATAAATTTAATATTAATCACTTCATGCCAGAAATCCCAAATTAAGTAGACAGACGGATGACTGTTTAACTAATCATCAGATGACCAGATATGAAATGCATATCAGATTTAGAACCACATTTGAAAGTAATCCAAATTGGATGCCAAAACATTGGCTCTCATAAGTGTTTTTGCTTACTTGCATGCCAAAAGTATCGAATCTGTGCCAGATATCTGTGGAAGAAAAAAATTAATAAATAAATAAAAAAGTAAAAAAAAAAAAATAGAAGTGGTTGACAGCATAAATGCTGCCTTAGATTGACAACATTTCAGTTTTCAAGGCTGAAGGTGCTCAATAAATCAAACGGGAACCATAGCTATATGTGAAAATGCTGTTCTCTGCTACACGTTCCTATAAAACAGAG